GGGAGGCAAGGGAGGGAGGGAGGGAAGAAGAAAAAAAAAAGAAAAACCCCAAACAAGTTATGCCTGGATGATTCCTTTGTGGACTTTTTTTGGGAACTCTGACACAGTCTAGGTTCCTCAACATTTCTAATTCATTGCCCACATCCAGAATTGTGGCCCTCTGCCAGGTTTAGGCCAGACTTCACATGGCTAAAAGGGGAAGAGATTGAAATTTGAAATTTACGCCTAAGCCAATTTTCAAAATAAGGAAATGGAAAGACTCTAAAATTTGTCAGATGTTGATGTGAGAGAATTGAAAAGGTGCATGGGAAAAACAAAATTGAAAAGAAAATTCCAGCAACTGTGTTGTGAATTTAACACCTTTAGAAAAAGATTTCCCTCATAAGTTCATTTTAAATGATACATTTTAGATTATATTTTGAAAAAAAATCTTCATTGAGATGTAACTTAAATAACATAAGATTTAATCATGTTAAGTGGAAAATGCTTTTTAGAACATTTATAGAGTTGTGCTGCCATCGTCCACAATCCAGTGGAACATTTCCATCACTTCAAAGAGATTTCTTGTGCCCGTTCCCCACCCATCTCCAGTCTAGCCCCTAGGTAACCACTAATCTACTTCTGTCGCTATGGATTGGTCTTTTCTGGACATTTCTGGATATAATATGTGATCTTTTACATCTCTTCTTTCATTCACCAGTTGATGGACAGTTGGATTGTTTCCACTCTGTCTATTATTAATAATGCTTCTATGAACATTTGCATTCATATTCATGGACCTAGGTTTTCATTGCTTTTGGGTAGATGGATACTTATCAGTAGAATTGTTGGGTCACATGTTAAATTTAGGTATAACCCTTTAAGAAACTGCCAATGTGTTTTACTTTTTGAAAAATTTTCCCCCCTCTTTAATTCCCCCTCCCCCCATTTCCACCTCTGACCTATGGATGTTGCCGTTTCCCCTTAAGAACTGGATCTCTGAGGGTGGGGGCATCTCCTTCCACAAGCTCCTGGTGTGCACCCGGCACTCCTTCCACAAGCTCCTGGCCTGGTTCCCCCGGCACACCCAAGGTCGGCGGTGGGGCAACCCAGGGCAGGGGTGAGGGGGAGAGGGCCGGCGCACCCGGGGTATGGTCCATGGCTCCACCTGGGGCATGAACCCAGAACCTTCTGTATGTAAAGCAGACATGCTAACCACTACACTATGGAGCCATCCCTGCCAGTGTGATTTAAATGATATTTTATGTGTTTTTTAAAACTTTGTATCCATTGAACTGCATAAGGCCATTTCAATACAATTTTTAGAGCTCTGGTAATTTTGCTGCTTAGCAAATAGCTTCTAAACACCACATGTCTGCACAAACACATTCCAGAGCTGCATACATTTGGCCAGGATTTTATTACATAGATAATATGTGTTCTTTGTGAAAAAATAGATAATATAAATAAGAAAAAAAAAAGAAAAATTAAAGTCGTCCATAAGTCCACCAGTGTTATCATTTTATTACATATTATTCGAGATTTTTATATAGTCTTTCCTCACAACCCTCCCGGAGAGCAAGAAGGAAAGAGATGATAAAGTAATAAAGGATGGAAAAGAAATATGAAAAAAGAATTACAAATAGCAAATAAATATATGAAAAAGTTTTCACTAGTAATCAATGTAAATTGAAATGATATAATGTTTTCATTTAACATATTGAAAAGATTTAAAAGATTTTTAAGACTCACTGGGATAAAGGAATGGAGGGACCAGCATTCCTATATATTGTGATGAGCTGAACTTTTCTTAGGGTGTTTTGCCACTACATATTGACATTTCCAACAGTACTGGTTCTAGGAATTTGAGTGGACAAAGTTGAAAAAAAAGTTTTTGTTGGGAAAAATGAAGAAATCTAGATATCTCCCAATGGGAGCCATAAAATAAAGTATAATAAATGCTCCATGTAAGCAATGGAATACCACACAGCAGTGAAAACAACTGACATATACCTATATTTATTGATATTGATATATATCAAGCAAAATCAGTTTACATGAAATTATATAGTTCCATTCCATTTTTATTTTTTAAAAATAGTCACTTTTGAGTTATAAATATAGAAAAAATCTAGAAAAATGTAGGCCAGTGTTAATTGAGGTAATCTCTGAGTTACAGAATTAAAAGGGATTCTCATGTATATTTTTTTATTATTATATATTTTACAAACATGCATTACTTCGATTATAATAGAATTACTTACATTTTGAAAAAGGTTATTAATAGTTCGTGTCAGAGGTCAAAATATAAAGAGTATTGGGCTAATCTTTGACTTAATTAATCAAACTTACAAAAAGTTTGGCTATTTGGAGAGTTAGGAGCAGGAAGGACAGATGCTAAGAAAAGGATTGATGTTGACTGAATGGGTGCTGTCAGCCAGACAGGCCATAGCAGCTGCTGAGAGCCAAGAGGACAAATGTGAAGTAACAACACAGTATTTGGCTTTGGCTTCCAGCAGCTGTTAAACAGAACCTGTTTTCTGAAATATTGTCAAGCCCACCCCACAAATGGCATATAATAAGCAATTTTATAAAAATGCTGAAGAATTGGTTCCCTAAATGCCTACTCTTTGCCAGGCTGTTACATATAATGGTTGTTCTGTGAACTAAACTTCACTCTATCAATGCAGGGGTTACTGGTTGTTACATTACAGACCTTTAGCAAAAGAACGTGATTAGAGATTGCCAGCTGTCCCCTTAGGAGCTGAGCAGCTAGCTTTCCAGCAGTACCTGAGACTTGTTAACCTCAGCATCTCTACGTCTATTTCGAATCTGCTCTACCTTCATCATCAGCAGGCCCTCTCCCACATCCAGTGCTCTCAAAGCCTGGAAGAAAAGAAGTTTCTCCCCACCAAAATGCTCACTCTCTGTTGTATGGCATGTGGAATCCTGCATTAAGTTTTAGGCACCAATTAGTTATCTTCTCCTGCCCTTATGCAGGAGACATTTACCTAGAGATATTTTCCTATGGGTTCATGGAGCAAGAAACAGGATGTTCAAAACCAAAGTGATTCGAGCTCATCACAGGTAATGTGAGCCTATTAAATTCAGAAGTATTTCTGCCATGTCATTAAATGGTTTAGTAACTCATAAGATTTACACAAGTGTAGCTGATAGAAAAAGTGTTTATTTAGACATCAAGATTGTTTTCCCTTGGGTAAATGGCTCCTACATGTCTCAGCTTCCTCTACTAACTCTAGTTATGAAAGGGTTGACCAAATGTCAGGAGGAATTGGCAAATGTGGACCCCCTCCCTCAGAGATTCTGCCTCCTGTCTTAATTATTCTCACTTAAAATAGTAACTGATTATTTTCATTCTCCTTCCTCTTCCTCTCCTTCTGAAACCACCTGATTCACCAGTTTAGCTATGCCTGAAGACATACTGCTGAGGGCACCCCATTGTCAGAGGATCCCATTTCGTAAACAGTCACTGTCCTCTGTTTCTTGTATAATCCTGGACTTTTACTTAACCTAGATAAACTAAGCTCAAATGTGGGTATTGCATCAGAGTTTCTTTCACAATTATTTTCAGTTTGGGAACAAACATTTGATTAAAATGAATATTTTTCCTCTTCCAAAATGGTAGTGCCTAGCATAAGGATGGGCAAAGTTTCATGTTTCTTATTCTCTTGTGGATGCATCCAGAAGGCGACAAAGGGAACTGTTTGTTCCCCTTTGGAGCCATTCATAGTTTCTGAGTAACATTACACAATAAATATATTAAGAATAGACTTTCTGGCACACCTTACATTAGTTTTCTGATAGCAGTCCCTGACATCTATGTATTTATTTTCTTTTAGAACATTTTGAGCCCGCAAGGGTCATGAGGCAAAGTTCACAGGTCCTTTTCAGAGCCCTTTCTAATGTAATGTTTTTCTTACTGATGTTGAAAAGTACACATTGTTATGTTGGTAAGCAAATTACAAGACTGAAGCTTGCTCTCTTGGGGCCAAAAATGTAGCCACTGTGGTGGTATGGTAAGATATGTGTGCACTAAGACCCCAGCCTGCTAGGCTGACAGAGTGCATCTGAGAGGGCTAATGGGATCCTTCTGTATTTCCACAGATGCTGATGCAGAGATTGAAGGAACCCCAGCCTCTCCCTTAGATGTGGTGTGCTTGGATGCCAACAAAGATTATATCATCATCTCTTGGAAACAGCCAGCTGTGGATGGAGGGAGTCCTATTCTGGGATATTTTATTGATAAGTTAGTGCTTAGTCTAATTTTAGTTAGAGTAATTTGGTCATAGTGATGCATGCTTGATTTCTCCCATTTCTAGGTGAAATAATTTCTCTTCTGGTCTTATCTCTCTCTTTCTCTGTGTTTCTGTCTCTGTGCGTATCTTTCGATAGATAGGTAGGTAGACAGACAGATGAACGGACAGACATAGATGTATATAAATATAGATAGATAGATATACTACCAGCACAAGTCACTAATTTGACAAGAGTACTATGAATTTGTAGACCTAATAGAGGCCACTCTGGAAATGAAATAGCTGGTATTTAATGTAATTAATGTTTGTATTTCTAGTATGTCAGTGATTTAAGAATATTAAGTAAAGAATAATATTTTAGGAATACTAACAAAATCTTATTTACATTGAAGGAAGTGGTTTCAAGTTAGATAAAGAAAAAAATATCAGTAGTCTTAAATTATGTTCCATCTATAAGTTCTTCCTGTTTACATTCTCCAAACTTAGATTCTGATATTTATGGTAATTGGGTCTTACACATTAATTACCCAGTGAGTTTAGACAACATAGACAACAATTTTATATTATGAACCCTAATACATTATTGTTTGTATTAGTTTCTATTCAAATAGTTGCTCTAATTCTCTTTCCATTTTTGAGTGATAAAATCTAATTATAGAAACCACTAGGGACAGATAATCTGTGCTACTATGGTACAGTGGGGTTCTACCAAGGTGTATGAAATCTAATATTTATAGCAATAAGTAAATATATGTCTACTGAACTAAATACCATCCAGAGAAATATTTACAACAAATTACATGCTGTTTAATTGTATATTAAGTACTTCTATATTATTTCATCTTTTAGTAATGATGAACTGTGAAGTTTTATATAGACTCTTTTTTCATCCTTACAATTTCTGCCTTATTGTCTTTGGCAAATTTCTAAAGGATTTGCAAACTTTGATCAGTGAAAGACCAGGGACAATCAGTACATTTTGTTTTTCTCTTGCCTTAGTCATAATAAAAATAACCATATTATGGCTAATACTTATCAAGCGTTTGCCATGTGCATGGCATTGTTCTAAAAACTTCACATGCATTAACCATTAACCCATAATTATCCTTTGAAAAGTAGGTACTATTATGACAAGTAAGAAATGAGTAGCTGACCCAAGGCCACATGCTAGTGAGGAAACACTAAGTCATACAATTTAATTCTAACAACTAGAATTCAAAGAGCAGCATGGCTGTAAGCTTGTGTTTTTTCTGCTCTACCATGCTGTAGATGTCTCCAGAGCAGCTGCTCTCCACCTTTCTTCTGCCCACATTAGGGTTAGGAAGCACACTCTAGGACCTTTGAGTCATCACAACATTACGTGTACACAGAGAGAGGGAGACAGGGGCAGTTTGAAGAACTGTCCTAACCCTCTCAGCTCCTTCTTATTTCCCATTCATAGCAGCTTTGTAATTTCTACAAAGGAAGATTTAGGGAAAAGAGGATGGAATGGCAGGGATTGAAGCCATATTTCATAGCACTTTACATAAGATTGAGGAAAATATTGATCTCAAAGAATGGAAGGATGATGGTGAGGATCTGAAGATAAAGCCCCTATCCCGACCACCTTTGCCCTGCTATTGGCAACCCGCACCCCCACGAGAATCATTTGAGAATTATACATTTTGGACATCCAGCTGTATTGGGGAAGCGATATAAACTAAAAGTGTAGTGCTCTGCTCACAAAAAAATGATGAGTTACTTAGTCTTAATGCTGTCTATTTCAATCACATGTCGAGCCCCTAAAGTCCTGTTAATCAGGCCAATAACATGATATGAACTGTCATCTTTGTCTCCCTGGGTATGGCCACCCCACCGCCAGGTGTCAAGGGCTCTGAAAGCACCAATTAGAGATCGGAGGTTTCAAATACTTAAACTTCCTCTGCCCAGCCTGAGAATTTCGCTGCATCTCATCAATCTTATCTGTTAAGAAACAAATATATTACAGTACCCTCCCCGTCCTCCCACCCTCTCAGCATATAGTGACCATCAAGTGAGCTCTTTTCAAATTATAATACAAATAGGTATCTTTTAAGGCATTAACTTTTTCAACAGTAGTTCCATTTTTAAAAGAAAACGCCTAAGGAAGCCACTAATGGTGCAACTGATGACATCAGCCAGGGAGATGTTGGGGGGATCCTCCCCCTTAGTCTATCCAATGTACATACCTGCTTGCTTCCTCACCTCCCGCACCCCAAACTCCTCTGCTTAGCGCATGAGGCCCCTCAGCTGCCTGCTTTTAATGAGGTCACAGGACGCATATGTGTTCAGGAAGAATCTGAACCTCTTTCTTGTTAAAGAAAACACCTTACTTTTGAGTGGAACTGAGTACTTGCAATTAGATAACTATTGAGCCATGCTTGAGCTAGATATTTTGTAGAAAGACGATCTGAAGCAATTGAGTAAGTTTGCAGCTTTGGAGCTATTAGTTTAGCCATGCTTCTTTTAATATTTTTATCAATCACTCTCTTTTCCTTAGATGTGAGGTGGGCACAGATAGCTGGTCTCAATGCAATGACACACCTGTGAAGTTTGCTCGTTTCCCAGTCACTGGATTGATAGAAGGTCGTTCTTATATATTCCGAGTTCGAGCTGTGAATAAAACTGGAATAGGTCTACCATCTCGTGTTTCTGAGCCTGTGGCTGCTCTGGATCCAGCTGAGAAAGCTAGACTTAAAAGTAAGCATTTTTCATTTTTCAGGATCTTGAACTTTTTTATATAACTGCTATAGATCTCATTGCAAGGTTATTCCTCCCTCTTCCACTAGAGGGAGAAGAGAATAAGAAATCCTATATTGATCAAAAGATCCTAGGGGGAAAAATAAAAACAAAAAAAAAACCTGTTTTTTTTTACTCATCTATTCACCAACAGCTTTATTTATTTTATTTTATTTTATTTTATTTTATTTTATTTTATTTTATTTTATTTTATTATTTTTATCTGATTCAGAGTTTGTCTCATTAAACTGAGTTCCAGGCATTGTGTTTGAAATAAAATATAAAACCCAAGAGCCTAGAGAGTATTTTTAGTCATTTTATCAGCGTATTCCAAATGTACTTTTTTTCTTAGTTCAGTTTTTAAAATTGTAAGGTAAATTTCTTAAGCTTGAATTTGTCCTTTAGAACATTAATATCTCAATACACTGAATTTATATCAAAGGAAAAACACATTTACAAATTATATATAATCTATACTTGAGTTTCAATATTAGACAGTAAAAATTAATCTTTTCATATATTTAACGTCCAAGTGTCAATGACAAAACCATGCTTCATGAATTATACTGTGCATTTGTTTCATGGGAATCCATACGGCATCCTCAATAATAGGGACCATAAAGTGACATTAAAAGAATTGTTGGAAATTAACATTTCATTCTTTATACCAGATTTCTCAACCTTGGCCCTATTGACATTTTGGGCCAGATAATTCTTTGTTGTAGGGGGGCTATCCTGTGCATCATAGGATGTTTAGCAGCATCCTTGGCCTCTACTCACTAGATGCTGATAGCTCTCCTCACCCCTTTGTGACCATCAAATCATCTCCAGACATTACCAAATGTCCCTAGGGGGCAAAATCACTCTAGTTGAGGACTACTGGTTTATGCCATATTTACAGTGTTATTCTTTACCTTAAGTAAAGGATAACATGTAGTGGCATTATAACAATCTAAGTAAAATAATGCCACCTTTCTCTGGAGACTTTCTAGTCAGGCTACTTGATTGTTCTCCAATCACTTTTCACTTACTCTCTGACTTCCCTCTCTCTTTCCTAATTCCATCTCATACTTTAATTTATCCTTCTTTTAGAAATTCCAATGAAAATAAGATTTGTTTGAACTAAAAATAAGTTATCTTCTTTATCGCCTTTTTTGTTTTTGCACAAAGTCTGGTGAAAAGTCCATGGATTAAAGCAGGAGTTGAATCATTCTTTCTGACATCCATGGGATCACAGAAATGAATATCTTCTTTAACTTTATACTGCCCATCTCATCCATTTTCCTTAATCAAGATCTAAACTGGTTTCTTTTGTAGATAACACTTTTCGAAAGTAATAGAAAGCAATTGCTTTCGTTGAGCTTTACTGCAGGTTCAGCATCTCGCTCCTCTTCATCTTCATTATGACAGATAAATAACTAGTGAGCTTACAATTGTTCCAGAAAGCTTTCTCCCAAATACACGTTATCTCTTAAGAAGAGATGAGAGCCTACGTGTTTCAGGAGACTCATATTGAACAGTAAATGAACACAGGTTATTTACCTTGCTTGTGTAAGTACAATTCTAGAAATGTCAACTCAGTTCAGGTAGGTTTGAGGCACTAGCAGATTGAGACTTCTTTGAGGACACAATACCATACACATGCTCAGTATGTTAGCAAAATACGTAGGTAAACTAATACCATACACATGCTCAGGAAGATTTGTTAGCAAAATACATAGGTAAACTAATAAACCCATTTGTGACTAAATATGGCCAGTTTAATCGGTGCAGTTGAAACTACATTTGTGAATGTTTGTGATTGTTATTGTTCAGGTCGCCCTTCAGCACCCTGGACTGGTCAGATCATTGTCACTGAAGAGGAACCTACAGGTAAAAGCTACATTTTTCCCAGATACTGTTGCCAATGTTTAGCTATTCAACTTAGCTTTTGTTGTGAAGGATACAGTGTATATTAATTTAAGATGTTTTGGAAAGAACATTCTGAAATATTTGGAGATCATAAAATAACATATTGCCAGAGAATCACACACACAAAAAAGTTTTATTGAAGTGTAATTCACATACAGTAAACTGCATGTCTGTAAAATAGACAATTTGATAAATTTTACAGGTGAGTTCACCTGTGAAGCCATACCGTGATAAAAATAATGAACATATCTATCACCCCTAAAATGTCCTCATGTCCCTTTGTAACGCCTGCTTCCCACCCCTTCCCCATATCCAAGGCCATCACTGATCTGCTTTCTATCACTAGAGTTTGCATTGTTCACAATTTTAGATAAATGGAATTATGCTCATTTTTGTATGGTTTCCTTCATTCAGCATAATTATTTTGAGGTTTGTCTATGTTGATGTGTATATCAGTTCATTCCAGTTTATCCATTTGCAACTGGAAGTTTCTATAAAAATTCTTGTTTGTGTGGACATATGCTTTCATTTCTCTTGGATAAACACCTACAAGTTGAATGGATAGGTCATAGGGTATGTTTATAATTTTTAAAGAAACTGCCAACTGTTTTCCAAAATGGTTGTACCATTTTACAATCCCATCAGTAGTCTATGAGAGTTCCCGTCGCTCCACATTGCCAGTACTTAGCATGGTCAGTCTTTTTAATTTTAGCCATTCTAGTGGTACATAGTGGTGTTTTACGCTACAGTGGTATTTCATAATGGGTGCATAGTGGTTTTAATTTGCATTTTCCTAATAATGTTGAACATCTTTTAATGTGTCTATTTGCCATTTTTGTATTGTATTTGACATCTTTGCCAAATCTAAGTTCACTCAGATTTTTTTCTGTTTTTTTTTCTAGAAATGTTTATGCATTAGCTCTTATATTTCAATATATAATTCATTTCAAATTAATTTTTTCTATATTGTGTGAAATAAGAGTCTAAGTTATTTTTATTATTTTGCATATGGCTATCCAATTATTTCAGTTGTGTATATAATAGATTATCCTTTTCCAATGAATTAATTGCCTTGGCACCATTATCAAAATCAACTGATTGCATATTTCTTCAAACTTTATTGGTAAATTTTACTTTTTCTACACCAGGACCACCCTGTCTTGATTGCTATAGCTTTTGTGTTGTTGTTGTTTTAAGCTTCATAGTTTTGAAAACAGGTAGTATAAATCTTCTAATCTTTTTTCCCTCAAAATTGTTTTGGCTATTCTAAGTCTTTGCATTTCCATGTGAAATTTAAAACCAACTTATCAATTTCTATAAAAAATCTGCTGGCATTTCAATTGAGTCTTTTATATCCTTAATGATTTTCTATCTACTTGTTCTATCAATTATTGATAAAGTAATGATGAAATTGCCAACTAAATGATGTATTATTATCATTATTAGTTTTTTCTTGTAGTTCTACCAGGTTTTGCTGCATGTATTTTGACATTCTGTTATTAGATGCTTAAACATCTTTATTGTTACATCATCTTATGAATTAACCACTTTATTATTATAAAGTGAGTCCCTTTATCCATGGTAATGTTTTTTGCTTGGAAATCTACTTTGTTTGATATTAATATAACCATTCCAGATTTCTTTTGATTAGTGGCATAAGATTTCTATCCTTTTATTTTTAACTTATGTGTGTCTTTATGTTTAAATTATGTTTCTTGTAGGCAGCATCTAATTGGATCTTGCTTTTTTATGTAATCTGGTAATCTTTGCCTTTTAATTGGGGAGTTTGAACCATTTACATTTCAAGCAATTATTGATATGGTTGGATTTAAATCTACCATTTTGCTATTTGTTTTCTATCTATTCCATCTGTTTCCTTTTTCTTCTTTCTTTTGGGTTGAGTATTTTTTATTATTTCATTTTAACTATGTTATCTTATTAGCTATGATTCTTTGTCCTGCTTTATAGTAGTTTGGAGTTTATAACATACCTCTTATCACAACTTATCTTCAAATTAAATTATACCACTTCACATGTAGTGTAAGAACCTACAACTGTATTATTCTATTTGCCCTCTGAGCCGTGGTGATGTTGTTGTCATACATTTTTTTGTGCAAATATTTTAAACTTTACAATGCAGTCACTTATCTTTCAAAAAGATTTAAAAAGTAAGAAAAAGGTTTTTACCATTTCTGTTGTTCTTCATTTCTTTGTGTAGATCTGGATTTCCATGTGATATGATTTTCTTTCCAGCTGAGGCATTTCCTTTCAAATTTCTTATGGTGCAGGACTGATGCTTATGAATTATTTTATTTTCTGTATGTCTGAGTCTCTTTCATCTTTATTTGTAAAATATATATTCACTGGGTGTAGAATTCTAGGTTGACAGTTTTTCATTCAGTAAAAAAATTGCCCATTGTAGTGCAGACCTGCACTATAAGAATGACTGCTGTTATTCTTATTTTTGTTACTCTGCATGTAATGTATCATTTTCTCTATATAATTTTAAAATATTATTTTTATAACTGGCTTTAGCAATTTGATTATGATGTACATTTGTGTCATTTCCTTTATGTATCTTGTGCTTGGAGTTTGCAAGTTCCTTGGATCTGTGAGTCTGTAGTTTTCATCAGATTTGGATTTTTTTTCACCATTATTTCTTAAATTTTTTTTCTGTATTCTCTTCTCTCTTCTATACATCAGGAACTCCAATTACATGCCACTTGAAACACAGTTCACTGATGCTGAGCTCATTTTTCCTTTCATTTTTTTCTTTTTGTGCTTCATTTTGGATACTTTCTATTGCTATGTCATGAATTCTACTCTCCTTTTCTTTTTCTGTGTTTAATGTGCTGTGAATTCCAGCCAAGGTTTTTTTTTTTTTATCTTAGACTTTGTACTTTTCATCTTTATAAGTTAATTTATATCATTTTTATATTTTCCATGTTTTTAATTAACATGTTCAATCTTTATCCTCTTGGACATATGAAATACAGTTATAATAACTGTTTATATCTTTGTCTACTAATTCTATCATTTATGACATTTCAGGGTTTTTTTTATTGATTAATTTTTCTCCTTATTATAGGCTGTATTTTCTTGCTTGCATATTCGATTATTTTTTATGAGATGCCAGACATTTTAAATTTAAACTGTTTGATGCTGGGTGTTTTTGCATTTTTATAAACACTCAAGCTTTGTTCTGGGGAAATAATTTGATCCTTTCAAGGCTTACTTTTGTTAAGTGGAGTCAGAGAAGCCTTTAGTCCAGGGGTACTTTGGCCTCACTACAAAGGCAATACTCTCCTGAGTACTTCATCTGATGCTCCATGAATTAGGAGATTTCTACTCAGGCTAGTGGAAACATAAACTTTCTCAGGCCCAATGAGAGCTCTGAGGATTGTTCCTTCATTTCTTCTGTGTGGTTGTCCCCATTTCAGGTGGTTTCTTCATATGTATGAGCTGATCAGTTCTCAGATCAGCACTCTACAAGGACTCTCTGCAGATCTCTGAAGCTTCTCTCTGTCTGTACAGCACCTTCCTCCAGTATTCATCTCTGTGACTCTATCTGTGGATACCTTGCTCTCCTTGGAATTCCAGTTTCTTCTCCTCCATTCAAGGAGCTGCCAGGCTCTACCTCAGTTGCTCTTCCTGAGCTGCTGCCTTGAAACTCTCTCCTGACAGCAAGTTAGGACAATGGCAGGGCTCATCTAACTTGTTTCCCATCTATCAGTAATCATTGTCCTATGTCCAATGTCTGTAAACAGTAATTTGGTATATTTTGCTCAGTATTTAAGCTGTTTCACTTCAATGTCAAGAACTGTGGCGAGTCTAAAAATTTACCCTACTTACAACCTAATAAGTGTCTTATCAAATTTATAGCTGCTGGCAAAAGACGCGAGACAGAAGATGCTATTCCTCAGAACACTGCAGACATCATTGCCTTCATGTTCTCACTGTTTCCTTTGCCCCTCTCTACCAGTTCCCACAGAGTGATGTGAAGCAGCACAAGTAGATGCTGCATACACAGTAGATTTGTGTCACACCCACCCGAGAAACCGTGCACTTAGAGAGCTGCTACCAAACCTACCCAAATTTCTCTAGAGAAAGTCATTATCCTTTATTATTCTAGTCAGAAAACAAGTCAACTGTCTGACCTAGAGAATATACTATCTCTATATTTCAAGGTTGTTTGCTATTTAACATCCTTGAAAACATATTCTATAAAAATGCTGATAGAAGGTATGTAGAAAAACCATTGAGAATTGTCTCTGAACACCAGTTCTGTGACATCAGCTTTGCCAGAAAAAGGCATCGAAAATTACATTTTAAATTACATCTGAGGAACCACAAAGACCCTGAATACTAAAGCAATCTTGAGAAAGAAGAACAAAGTTGAAAGTATCACGCTACCTGATATCAAACTATACTACAACTCTATAGTACTCAAAACAGCATGATACTGGCATGAACACAGACACATCAATGGAACAGAATGGAATGCCCAGAAATAAGCCCACACCTATATTGTCAATTAATCCATGACAAAGGAGACAAGAATATACAGTGGGATAAAGATAGCCTCTTTAACAAATAGTGTTAGGAAAACTGGACAGATACATGCAAAAAAATGAAACTGGACCACCTTATACCATATAAAAGAATAAACTCAAAATGAATTGAAGACTTAAATATAAGACCCAAAACCATAAAACTAGAAAACACAGGCAGTAAGTTCTTTGACATTGCTCTTAGTAACATTTTTTTTGTTGGCGGGGGGGCGTGGGGGGTGGGTGCGGGCGGAATACATTTCCTTGGACAAGGGGGAAAAAAAACAGAGGAAAAAAAAACAAACAAATGGGACTATATCAGACTAAAAAGTTTGCACAGCAAAGGAATTCATCAACAAAATGAAAAGACACATTACTGAATGGGAGAAAATATTCACCAATCCTACTTATAATAGAGGTTAATATCCAAAATATATAAGGGACTCATATAAGGTAACACACACACACACACAAATAAAATCCCATTAAAAATTGGGCGGGGGACCTGAATAGGCATTTCTCCAAAGAGGACATATGAAAAGACATAAACATATGAACATATGAAAAATAAACATATGAAAAGATGCTCAATATCACTACTCACTAGGGAAATGCAAGTTAAAACCACAATGAGATATCACTTCACATCTGTCAGAATTGCTATCAGCAATAAATCAACAAGCAACAAGTGTTTGAGAGAATATAGAAAAAAAAAAAAAAAGAACCCTTGTGCACTGCTGGTGAGATTGTAAATTGGTACAACCACTGTGGAAAACATATGGAGGTTTCTCAAAAAATTAAAAATAGAATGACTATATGACCCAGAAATTCTACTTCTGGGTATTTATCCAAAGAAATCCAAAATACTAATTTGAAAAGATATATGCACCCTTATGTTCATTGCAACATTATTTACAGTAGCCAAGATATGGAAGCAGCGTAGGTGTCCATCGATAGATGAATCGATAAAGAAGAGGAGGTACATATATACATATACAGTGGAATATTACTTAGTCATATAAAAGAATGAAATCTTACCATTTGTGACAACATGGATGAACCTAGAAGGTATTATGCTAAATGAAATAAGACAGAGAAAAACAAATACCATATGATTTCACTTACGTATGGAATCTAAAGAACAAAAGAAATGAACAAACAAAACATAAACAAACTCATAGATACAGAAAACAAACTGATAGTTGCCAGATGGGAGAGGGATGGGGGGCTGGATGAAAAAAGTGACAAAATAGTCATAGGGATACAAAGTACAGCATAGGGAATATAATCAATAATATTGTAATAAGTATGTATGATGTCAGACAGGTACTAGACTTATTGTGTGATCACTCTCTAAGTGTCTAATCATATAAATGTCTAACCACTATGTTGCACACCTGAAACCAATGTAATATTGTACGTCAACTGTAACTGAATTTTTTAGTTTTAAAAATAAATAAGCGACATTCAAAAACTATGATTCCACTCTTTTTTGTAAATATAGAAAAGGTAACCTGTGCCATTACTACTATTTTTCAGGACTAATAAGGAAATTAAAATTGTCAAGCAAAGATAGTAAATTTGTGGCTTTGAATGAATGAAGACTATTTTAGGAAGAATTTTAGAGACAAGGTACTTCTTTATACTGCAGAGCAGTAATTAACTCTGTCTCCAGTAAGAGAGAAGCATCTGTGACTCTCTGAGTATCCTGGGTTTTCCGGAGTGTGTGCTTCTCACTTTTCTTTGTTGTTTTTCAGAGGGTATTGTTCCTGGACCTCCTACAGACCTCTCTGTCACTGAAGCCACCCGGAGCTATGTGGTGCTAAGCTGGAAGCCCCCTGGTCAGCGTGGCCATGAGGGCATTCTGTACTTTGTAGAAAAGGTAAGATTCTGAGATCAACATTAATACTTCATGCCACATTCTAAAGATTTCTTTTAAAAGGTAGAGATTAAATTTTCATTATGTTCTGAACTCTTTGAACCCTTATAAACTGTGAAGAATCTCCACAGAAAAATATTTATCACAAAGAACTTTGCCTGAAAGTTCAGGGGATTTATAGACCCTTGAGGCTCATCCATAGACTTCTAAGAGGTCCATGGACCCCAATTCATGATCCCTATTTGAAGAGAAATGTTCCTGAAACTGTAGATTGCCTGTATGACAATATTTCCTGGAGACTTTTTCTGTCTCCCTTGCTCTAGTAATGGCCTTTCATCTATCACTTGTCCTTCTGCAGTAGGGAATGAACATCAATGAGGGCAGTTGGGTGAGAGGAGCAGAAATTAAAATATTTCCTAATGGCTAGGAGAGTTGAAGACAGAAAGTCCCCCATGCTACCACTCGCTTGGTTAGCATTACTCTAAGTACAGGTCATAGGGTGGTATCAGGGATTACAAAACAACACAAGATATTAGCTAGTTCTTTTCCTCGAATATTTTACATGTGTATTGTAATTATGTTAGAGAGGGCAGCATACAATGAAGGCCTAAAATGAGTAGAATGATGAGAATTTTATGTGAATCTACAATATACCTATATTTGAAGGGAGTTCTAATAAGTATTTATGCCCAGAAAATGAAAACAAGACGACACTCGTACAGGACATTATTTGGGGGAACTGCCCTAGCTGCACGTGCAGACACATAAGAGAACCTGCCAGGCAAGGCACAGGGCCTTAGGAGTGGAAAAAGTCCTTGGCTAACAGCATAATTGCTACTAGAAAAGGGTGCTTAAAGAGAATTTGTCTAAAGTGAGGTTCAACCCTTGTACATTATAGGTGGGAATGTAAATTGGTCCAACCACTATGGAAAACAATATGGCGGTTCATCAAAAAATTAAAAGTATATCTACCATACACTCAGCAATTCCAATTTGGGATATATGCCTGAAGGAAATGAAAACAGGATTTAAAAGAAGCCCCCAAGCAAAGAAATCAGATACGGGCTACATTTAAAGGTAAAGCCCAGAGATAAGGGCCCTGATTTCACAAGTAATACTGAAAGTGACTCGATGTCTTCAAAAAAATATATGGCATTGGGGTGGGAGGAGGAGGGAGATAAACAAAACAAAACAAAACAGGATTTTGATGAGATATATGCACTCCCATGTTTATCACAGTATTCTTTACAATAGCCAAGATATGGGAACAACCCAAATGCCCATCAATGGATGAATGGATAAAAAAGAGGTGGTATATATACACAATGGAATACTATTCACTCATGAGAAAGTAGGACATTCTTGCATTCACAACAGCATGGATGGACATTAAGCACATTATGCTAAATGAGATAAGTCAAACAGAGAAAGACAAGTACTATATGATATCACTTATATGTGGAGGCTAAAAAAGTAGGCTGTAAAAAAACAGAGTAATGTGGTAGTTACCACAGAATGGGGACGGGGGATAAGAGTGATGATGTTTAAGGGTACAAACTTGTAATGAGTAGTAAATAAGCCATAGAAGCATAATGCACAATATAATGAACTTAGACAGTAATATTGTACTATAATTATGTAATGTGATAAATATTGCTATATTGGCAACCATATTAGAATACACAAATGTATCAAAGTAACGCACTATACATCTTAGACTTACACAATGTTACAGGTCAAATTTATTCAATAAAAATAAATAAATAGAATAAATAAATTAATTAAAAACAAGGCTCAAAATCCATTTGTTAGGAAAGTTTTGATTAGGATAAAATTTAAAAAGTGAAACAAAACTAAGTTTATTTTATCATGTATAAGAATATTTACATTTTTATTGGCAGCTCTGCATCTTTTTTTTTTAGAACAATGAATGAAACAAGTGTTTCTACTTTATCGTACATTTTATTTATTTTTTGGAATACAATATTATTAACTATAGTCACTTTGCTGCACATTACCTAACTTATTTTATAACTGGAAGTTTATACCTTTTGACTCCCTTCACTCATTGTGCTCACTGCCCCCCATCCACCCCACCTCCTGCTTCCGGCAACCACCCATCTGTTTTCTGTATCTTTGAGTTCAGTTTTAGGGGGATTTTGTTCTTGTTTTTGTTTTTTTGATTGGTTTGCTTGTGTTTATACGTTACATATAAGTGAGATCATACAGTATTTGTCTTCGAGAGAACATTTTTTATAAAATTATGCAATAGCTTGATAAGGTATCATTTATAATTTATTTTCATATCGAAATCATGGAAAAGGTCTTTTTTTTTTTTAGCAGAAATATCATGGAGCTCAATTAATTTTCCTAAAGCTCTCTCTCTTTTATCCTTAATGCTATTCTGATCATTTAATTTCAAAACTCCTATTAGGCTACCTTTCCTGACAATTATTACAAAAGAATAGGTATAGATATATTATTACTATAGAATATATATAGGTGTATAGGATATCCAAACATCTAAAAATTAGGTAATGACATAAAAGTGATACGCAACTATCTTTATGGCCTTTTAATTGTTTCAAATCAGTGGCTCTTGAAAAAATTAAAATGTTAGAGTCTGTGGTTTCCCTTTATTAATTACTTTCCTTTCATAAGGACATTTACCTCATGTCTTTGAGGAGCATGCCTCACTTCTTATTCCTAGCTAATAAATGGATCATCTCTTCAACATGTAATATCTATATATATATCTATATATATCTTCCAAGAGAGTCTGATTTTACCAAAATAATGTTAAAATTTTATAGTTTTATTTGTATGTATTTTTATATATTAGCCTCAAGTGAAATATAAATTAAGTATTATTCTCAATTTTTTTCTTTATTTTTTAACAGAGGGCAAGAATAGAATGATAAATATTCACTTCCTGGTGTGTTTAATACACACCCTCACTGAATCTCTTTGAAACACTTCACAGGAAGAGAGTTCTAAATAAGCTCTGTGACAGTAATTACCATCTTTCCTGTAATAATGACACAATAACAACCTAGTACTGAGATGTTTTCTTCAGATGAATCAGCTTTGGATTCTGTTGAACATTTCTTTTAGTCATATAAACTCTAATTTCTCTGTGAACATCTGTAACTTACCTAGACCTAAATACATATGAGTCTATGATTAAAAATTTAAGTATCTTCCACCAGCACACTTATTTATATGGAACAGAAGGGAACATTTTTGAATATAGCAGGCCTTCAAATAAATTTCATTCAATGTCATTTCTTTATAACATTGATGTGGGAAAAAAATTGATTCCTGGCCCATGGCCACTGCCTGTGTGGAGTTTGCACGTTCTCCCATGTCTGTGTGGGTTTTATCCAGGTATTCTGGTTTTCTTCTACATCCCAAAGATTCATGTGACATGAATTGGCATGTCTAAACTTTCTCAGTCTTGAGTGAGTGTGGGTGTGTGTGAGTGGCCCTGTCCAAGGTGGGCTCCTGCCTTGCTCCCTGAGCTGCTGGGATAGGCTTGGGCCACCCTCAACTGGAATAAGCAGGTCGGAAAAACCATTATTTTACTTGTTTTAATTAATCTTTCTTAAATGTATGTATAGCTCACATTTATTTCAGTGTTTAGTATTAGATGTGTTTTGGGTCTTTATTTAGAAATTTGGTGATCTTTTTGTGACCAGAAGCATGCTATAGAAATGTAACTCTTGTTTTTATCAATTAGCCTATGATAAAATTGGTTTCATTATACATGCATTCACTTAAAGTGGCAGTTTTCAAAAACCTATCAATGATGGCAAGTGAGGACTTACTGTATAGTGTGCGTAGAGAGACTTATAGGCACAGCCAATACATTTGAAACGTCAAGGACATTGAAATGTTGGGGGAGCTGAACACATCTAGAGACCTGGGGCACATTGACAGAACTATCCAAATGCCAAATCATTCTGCCGAGCTGAATCTCAGATTATTTCTGGTGAACCACTTCTAACACATCAACCTTTCTACAGGGAAATGTTCTGTTCATGCTCTTGTCCTGGGTGACCACCCCAGAAGGTTCGTGCCCACAGCAGTGTCACCTCTTTGGTTAGCCCCATGCTTGTGCTTCTTCATGGAACTTTTACCTGGGATTTTCATGCCCATAAAGCACTTAATTGTCATGGCTACAGGCTTAACACAAGTTATGCCATGTCCATGAGCCCTGAAATGATTGAAGTTGAGGGGTTTGTTAGCAAGGAAATCAGATGAACCTGCCTCCAGTGCTTCCAGCCTCCCTACCCTACTGTGTTCTTTGCAGCCCCAAACTTTTTCCTCAGGTGTCTTATGTCCTGAGCTCATCTCATTCCCATATCAAAAATCTGGTCATGTCAGAGACCAGGATCACATCACTTGATAGAACTGTTTCTACAAGCATGATTATCTTACCAAGGAGCAAGCACTGTTCTAAGCACTCTGCACATGTCAAACTACTTAATTCTTACAGTAATCCCATGAGGGAAATACTTAAATTTTCATCATGCCTATTTTGTAGATAAGGAAATTGAGGCATCCCAAGGTCACACAGTTAGTAAGAGGCAGAACGAAGATTTGAACCCATCAGTCTGGCTCAGATCCATATATATCCAACTATTATTACACATTGCTGCTTTTCAACCTTCCCAAGCGAAACTTTAATAATCACTCAATACTACCTCCACAACTATTTCAATGCATACTTGAGAAGATTAAAGAGTTACAATGGTAAATAAAGGTCTTAACACAGTGAAAGGCAGCTATTATTTTTATTATAAAGGTATAAGTGACTGATAATTGCTTATGTGTTCCCCAGGGGAGAATATGTCAAAATGAATCAAAATGATAAACTAAAGGATTAAAAGTCTGGGAGTATTTTATCCCTCAGTGGGCAGCAGATTGCCAATTTAGGGGGAATTTATCTTCTCTACTCTCTCACACACAAATGACACATTATCATGAAAGGCATTGCAATGATTTTAGAGGTTACCTTATCAAATTTGCTTATTTTACAAATGATAAAACTGAGGCCAAAAGCATTATATGAACTTTGCCAGGTTCGTGTAGCTCATTATTAACAAAACTAAGACCAGAATTGACGCCTCTGGGTTCTTTTCACCATATCATATTGTCTCTCATTTCAAGTCAATGAAGATTATGCTGAGTGATGAACCAGTAAATTTATAGTCCCCCAAATGTATCACCCTTAACATCTGGTCAGTGACCACAAGGTTCTAATTTCTGGAAAAATTTCTTAAAACTGCTAAAAAATCCCGTAGTTAAATTGCTTTTACTTACCTTGGGTTGAAAGTTAAAAGAAGAAGGGAAAAGAATTACTGAAGGCTGCTCATGATTTTCTCACTATATTCTCTATCAAAGCTCAAATAGACACCATATCCTCCATTCGAAGATTTTGAAGTCACTCTAGATCATTTTAATCCCAAGGATAGAATCTCTTTAAATTAATTTTCCCATTATTTATTCTAAAATATGGGCAAGAAAAAAAGACCATCTTCTTTATTTTTCACTTTCTTTATTCATTCAGAATTCATAAAAATTTATTCATTCAGATAAAAAAAAATGTTGATTACCTATCTACTATGGGCCAGATACAATTCTAGGCTATGAAGCATAGCAGTGAACAAGACAGCTCCCTGAATTTGTTTTATTGGAATTAACTTTCCAATGGGGGAGATGACAAATAATTTAAATTCGAATATGAAAAGTGTTTTGAAGGAAAACAGGGTAAGGGATAGAGAATGTTGGAAAAGGAGCAAAGAACTCTTTTAGATTGGTGATGGGAAGAGAGATGATCAGGAAGGCCCTTTGAAGGAGATATCTGAGCACAGACCTGAATGATGTTATGAGTCATTAAATAAGTCAATTAAAATAATACAGTTTATAACAATGTAATGAAAATTTAAGTATCTAACATAGTATATTCAATTTAATTACCTACCTAAGAATTAGAAAAGTATCTGACCCCAAACTATTTTCTAAATTAATTAAGAACCTTTGTAAGTAGATCAATAATCTTGGTTAATAATGGAAATGAAGTATTAAAGCAGTATATTTATCAAACAATAAAAAACCATATTTGATTTCGATAATACTGTGGACTTCAGATATTTATCCCCCATTTCCTCTAAACTCTTCTCCAGTCCAACTTGAATAACAGGTAATAATTTGCTGACAGATACATAACAATGCAAGATACCTGGCCTAGACTTCCCTTTTATTCTTGCTGTGTTTTTAACCAGTTTCATTGTTCTGGCTGCAGTGTGATGCAGAAACAGAAAATTGGCAGCGGGTGAACACGGAGCTCCCAGTGAAGTCTCCCCGCTTTGCTCTGTTCGACTTGGCAGAGGGGAAATCCTACCGTTTTCGTGTCCGCTGTTCTAA